TATTAGTGAATCGATTGTGTTTCATGAGACTTTGTGTACCTGGGTACGAGAAGGAATCTTGCTACCCACAGAGGGGATTGAATTATAGGAATATACAAAAGCAACGATATCTTCTGTTCATTCTTTTGTAAATAAAGTACTGCAACATCCAATTCTGTCAAGGGAAACTTGAAGCAAGTTCTTTGTAGGGGCTAAGCACTGTGTAGACATCTGGTGCTGAAAAGTAGTAAGATAAGTTCGAAGTCCAGATGTGGACATCACGGAAGGCGATGAAAGTGTTGGCAACAAGTATAATAACAACAACATTGACATTGAAGTGAATGAGACTCGTCAGTAACAACAAACAAAAACTTGCAATCATCACTGCCATCCAAATATATCCTCACGGCTTTAGCAAGACAGTCAACCCCTCTCCCCCCCACTCACCTCCAAATAAGCTTAACAATTTTTAACGTCCCAAATTTCTGGTTGATCCCCATGTACTTTTGCTCGGAAATGAATTCATACGAAGGTGAGTGAGTAGAGCCCAAAGGGCAAAGGCAATTTATACCCAAATATTGATTTGCAAGAAACGAAGAATTCATGGTGGAGTGAATCCGGTATGAGAAATCATCAACATATTACAACAGAGAAAAGTAGGGATCGTAGCATACAAAACTCCACATTCATCCAGAATCCTGCTGCAAAAGACTTCAACAAAAGATGAAGCACCGCATGACGCTCGACTTGCTCTCGTAGTGCATGGGCAATTGGGAGACATCTAGAATTGAATTTGCCAATCGCCACAATGACCACGGAATTCGAGATTGCAATAGATCAGAGGGCCGTGGCAGATATTATAGTAAAAATACCGCGGAAAAGTATTGCTGATGAGATGAGACTATTTCCGAACGCGACAACAATGGAATAGTTAATGATAACAAGACCAGTTGGTCGCCATAGTATGTACAACATTGACTTTATAGATCTTGCGGCATTCGAATAGGGTTGCTTCTCCTGGCGAATTCGATTCTCAGATAGGTTTGCTTTCTCCACATCGACTTCAGATTCGTAGGGACATATTCAGTTTATAGAAAGTGTATACTGAACAGACTGACTTATGTAGTTGTGAGAAGGCTGATTGAAAAAAGATACTTCCACGAGGAATACATTCAAAGAGAGTGTATGAATGTGATTCTCAGCTAGCAATCTTAATCTTGACTATCTCGTCGCGTTAGTGTCATCCCAATATCTTCCCGTCTCGAAAATCACGAACCTGTCATGATTCGTTCGGCATCACCAAATCAGCAGACCAAGTAAGAAGCAGTGATCTCAGACAACCCCGCTCTCTGTCAAAGCTGTATCCCTGACCAAAAAAACTTGTTTGTGGTCCTTTCGGATCTCCAGAGGGAGCTCGGCGTTCACAAATCGAGGAAAGGTTGCACTAATCTCTAAAAATGCAAACTTGCCATTTCAACTTCCTTATTGCCCGCAAGTAAAGTAGGACAAAAAAGGCCAGGGGCTTGAATAAAGCTGTGTATATTGTATTAATAAATGAGTATTTACATTGCATTAAAAATTCTTAACATATCCAACTACTTCCCGTTCATCAATCAGCAATCGCATGCATTATCATCACTATATCTACAAGTCCCAACGCCGTGTCCGTTCTTCAATCTTTGAAGTAGACGCAATGCAATCTTTCTTTCTTTTCCACTGATGCGCTCATATTTCGCCGTTTGCCGTTTCGTCCTTGAGCTCCTTGAAAATATCCACCCACTCATCATCGTGTCGTCATATCGCGCATCCCATCACATTCATCTCTTTCAAATTCACTTGTGTCTCAAATTTTGCACCAAGATTTCATGAAGAAGCTCCAATATCCTGTGCCCTAGCGCCAGCAGCATTTTTCTCATCATAATTCTTCACCGCAGCACTTGTACTCTCCACACTCACATCATCATCAAAGACATCCACTTTAGTAGTTGCAAACTTTCTCGCACTAATACCTCTCTCAAACAGTAGATCGAGTTCAGCGAATGAGCGGCCTTGAGGTTCAGGAAGGCGGAAATAGGTGTAGATGATGCAAAGAAAACAGATTCCGCCCTAAAATTTGGTATCAGTCTACAGTACTCATCAAATAGATGGGGAGAAACATTATATCAACATACCCAGAAGAATCCTGCATAGTTTTTCCAATTCCAAGCACCAGGATTGAGCATATATGGCGTAATAACACTGCAGACAATACCTACAATATTATACAAATTTCTGCCCAAAACCACAGTTTTGATTTGAAGTCTTCTTGTAGACAACTCAGAGACCAAAGAATAGCAGACCGTGCCGACGGTAAGTTGGTATGCCAGTGCCCATACCAACATAATAGAGCCAGTAGCAAGCGATGCCTCGGTTTTATGTGCAGCTGGGACGAGGCCTAGGAATCCGAGAATAAAAAGCATACTACACAAAATACAAAGGCCATAAAGGTAGAGAGATCTTCGACCAATTCCCAAGCTCATGAGGAACCAGGCTCCAAAAACGCCGGCCATGTTAATACCATATTGACCTAGAGCAAAGTCGTAGGATGTCGAGGTAGGTAGTCCGGCCTGTTGCAGGAAATAGGTAGAGTAGCCTGAAAAAGAATTTCCACTAAGGTTTTGCATCGCCCATACCATGCAGACAATCTGTTGAACGTTAACTTCTAATCTTTCCATATCATTTCACGGGGAGCTTGACCTCAGTTCTACGTCTGTCTACACCCCTGAAGCAATCCATATAGCTTGCTCCTTTGGTGATTTTCTCCTCAATTGCCGTAGTATGAACCATCATCGCAATAGTCTCGTCAGCGTCAAAGTTTGTTTCCTTGTTTAGACTGGTCAATCGAAGAAGCGATTTCTTAGCTTCTGCAACCCTTCCTTTTCGAACAAGCCACCATGGAGATTCTGGAGCGAGTGCGATACCAACTAGGAGTGGAACTGGCCACATCCATTGGAGACTGTAAGGAATTTTATAAGCCCATTCATCAGTCCGTGGTAACATAGATTTGATAACGCCAATACCAATGACTTGACCCAATCCCCAACAGAAATTTACATAGGTAGTGAGGTATCCACGAAGTCCAAGAGGACAGACTTCTGATGCATAAGTAATAGTGAGTGTTTGGAAGACTCCCCATGGCTATCCAAACATTAATAAAAGTTCCGACGAGGTTGAGTTGAGGTAGACTTACAATACCGCATAGAACTTCAGCAACTTCTAGCGCAATGACGTCTTGAGCAGTGAAAAAAATTGCCGTAAATGCAATAATTAAACTCAAACAAGTCATGACCGTGTATCGGTATCCAAATTTTTCGGAAACCCAACCATTGATAAATAGACCAATAATTTCACCAACATTTGCGCCCTGTTCGACACGTGAGTAATTGAATTCCAACTGTTAGTGATCCAATTATTGACTTACGTTACTCAAACCTGCTTGCCATTTAGCTGGCACCTGCCATGTGCCATCAGGTAATTGTTCACCGTATTTTTCATTGAATTGAGGAAATGCATCTAGAAAATCAGTATAATGGATCTTGGAGCCTGGAGTCTATTGAACTTACAAAAGTTGCTCAGTAAACACACGTCGTATCCCTCCATAGCAATACATGTCGAGATCAGAAGAGACCATCCGATAGCTTTAGGATACAATCTGATTCCCTGAAGTAGTGACATGTTATGTTCCTTCTCCGTAGACGCTTTCGCATCCTTAATCATCTGTTCCATTGATGTCGAGACTTTGAGATGGTCCTCTTCAGGAAAATGAAGAGGTTTCTCGTTGTCCTCAATGTGATCGCGATTGTGAATGTTGCCCATCGTGTTATCGGTATCCGACTGTGCGGCCAGATCGTCAGATGTTGAAGATAGAGCCATCTTCTAAACTTGGGGTCCCCAGGATTCTTATGCTGCCTGTCGTTCCACTTCCAACTTCCAACTGCCCTCGTGCAGGACTAGAGAATGCGGGGTATGATTGTCCAGGTCTTTGGGTGTTTGATCACACTTTGACCTGGGTTGGAGGGGAAAAGAATCCTCGAATTGGAAGTTAAAGTTACGGTTTTCAGATATTTTCAGGGTTAGTCAGTAATAGCGGGGATCGACGGACTGCCCGGCAACATTAAATGCCTGGTGAGTGGCTCGAGTGGTCGAGCGATAGCGTAGGCGTTGTTCGGATAATATGCATGAATATTTAACAGCCAATCATAAAGAATGTTATTCAGGAAGTGAGTTTTGAGTGGTGAAAATTACTTGCAATTGATCATATACGGCAATTCCACAGCGCGAGGATCTTCAATGTGATAACGTTAGAGAACGTATTTCCGCCTGAACTTGATGGGAATTGGCAATTTGTACACCGAGGCATTTTTCGCCATAGCATAGTGGTTCTCAAATAATGCGTTGGCCACTAACATTTACATTAGCTTATGATTAATTTCAAAACGGCGGTATCCCTTCTAACGTAAAGGCTTCGCACCAATTGACATGTCGGACTATGAACTAGCTTCTGGTACCTTTTTCGAATCTTCCAGAAAGGGAAGTGCCCGCGTGCTATCAGATAGCGGTCTGCTACTAGTACCTAGGCAAGATATCGGTTTGAAAAGATGGAATGGCTATCGGTGAATTGAACTTCCGATGGTGAATTGTGTAAAATTGGATTAAATTGGATACTCCACTTCGTGAAATGAAAACCTATCGTAGGCTCTTGACTCTTGTTTTCTCTAGAAGCCCGGACTTAGCTTCAAGTTTTATGCATTATGCACTGTGAAGTTGCCTTATGAAAAGGAAGTCCGGATGAAGCGAGGGGCGATGAAGGGGGTGATATTTCCACTCTTCTGGCTGTTGCACGAGATAGCTTTGAAGAGTGCGGATTCGGAGATATTTCCTGATAGCTACTTTGAATGCTGTGCACTAACTTCAGGGCTGACATTGCATTGCATGTTCAGTCACGAGAACCAGTCGCGAAGTTGATGATAAATTGTCCAGAGTCACATGATCGTAAAGTGGAACATCTGATCTTCACTCTGCCTCATCTGGCGACTTGGCTCTTGTGCCATTCCGCGATTCTTTGGATCGGTTTTACAATAACAGAACATCTTCAGAACATCTTCAAACTATGACCTTGATATATACACGAAATTGATATTAGTTGAGCATGTTTGGTTACTCGATTCCACGAGTCTTCTAGTTCCAACAAAACAGCCATGCACCAATTTGGCTCATCTACCATCGCCACCGACATCACTGTCACCATGTACGGCTCAGAGATGATCCAAGCTCCTATCCCTGATATTACTCGTGTACATCATTGTTATCGAATAATCGCCTGTTCGAGGATGCCGTAGGGAATCAACGCATACGCCAGTGCCTCGACGAGCTCCAATGCACGTTCAAACCGTCCCAAATATCGATTCAATCTATTTTATATATTCAATAGTTAGTGATTTATAAGACCACTCTGAAGAAATTACATAGTAATCAAAAAGAATTACTTCAAATCATACCAATAATCAACAATGAAGAGAGCTATCGGTAAACTTCGATTGAAGATCTCCAAATACAATGATAACGATCCAAAGGCACCACCATCCAAACCCGTGCCGATCGTACCCCAAGATCCATTATCGATTGGTTTGAAAATGATCTATGATTCTCCCGATGCAACTATTGAGTGTGTCTCTATAGTCTTCTTTCATCATCAATAACTAACATTTCCAGCATTATAGCCATTCACGGTCAAAATGGCCACCCCATCAATTCCTGGACAAACAGAGATAATGGAGTACTTTGGTTACGCGATCTTTTACCTGGGATTTTAGAAACACACCCAGGTGTGAAGATTCGAGTACTCAGTTATGGTTATGGACGTCGAGACCCCGTCGAAGTTATCGGCGCTGGATTAATGAAGAGCATTGGGGATTTAAGAACAGAGACAAAGAGTGAAGGGAGGAAAATAATTTGGTGTGCCCATAGTTTTGGGGGTCCCTTATTACGTGCTGTATGTAATCTCTCGACCCGATATGTTTCATATTGCTTCTATCTTGCATGTTAAGAAATCACTTGTGCTAACGAAATCAGGCAATAACCATCGCTCCGCCTTCCAGCGATATCCAAGTCTCAACCCACGCCATTTTGTTCTTCGGAGTAGCAAAAAACATGGGGTTGGAAAATCTGAGCACGGTGCTTGCAATGCCAGAAGCCACATTGAGTAGCGAGATGAAGGAGTTGAGGAAAGAAATGATGTGGTTGAAAATGGGAATTGAAAGATTTGATCCATTGGGTGAGCATTTAGGTTGGAATATTGTGTGGTTTAGAGAGGTCGGAAGCGAGGAAGAGAAGGTTAGGCATTCGGACGGGGTGGGTGGGAATGAGGACTTAGGTGAAGATGGAGAGGGCAAGCTTGAAGTCGTGGTTAGATTGGAGAAGACGCATGGCGCTATGGTTAGGTTTGCTGATGTCGAGGATGAGGATTTCATAGTGGTGGTGGAGAAGACCAGGAATATGGTAGAGGAAATTACAAAAAGGTAACAATACAGTCTGGAGCTGATCTATAAAAGCCACCGAAAACCCGGAAATTCATTATCTAGAACTCTCAAGTTCGCGCGATGTAACATCAATCAATTTCAAATACACAAAGAGTGTTTGCGGCTCGTTTGACATCGACTTTATCCGGAGGCGTGGTAAGGCTCCCCAGAAACATCATGCTTACATTGGCACAAAACGAACACCCACAAGGCACCAGCCCGCAGTCGGTCAAGGCGCAGTAGTAATGGACCAGGCGATGCATATTAATTAGATCAATTCTGTTCCCAACAGATATCGTGTTGCGGAATCATTAGTAGTTGATGAGTCTAATGTCAAGAGGGCACATTGAACTGCCTTGGGCGCCTTGCAGTACTTAGTCACAGGTGCAAGAGGCAGGAGATAGGTGAAAATGTGGTTTAGAAGTCACACGAAAGTCAATTCGTTAAAGTCTAACCTGCAGTATAAGTGCTTCGGACGTCGTTTTCAATTATTTGATGATGAAAGCTCACGTATGTGATCAACAGGCTTGCACTAATGCAGTCATCAAGGATCACTTTCCTCATCTGCAAAGTTTTGCAGAACTCCGCCCATTGTTCGCGTAAAGATAAGTAGATAAGATAATATCATGCAACTTATTTGCTCAGCCCGGAGCCTCGATGGATTATAATTATAAGGTTGATCAAAGAAAGCTGAAGAATCATTGTTTTGAAGAGATTGGCTCCTTTCTTTTCTGACGGCGAGAACGTCCGATATAACGATACCTTTATGGATCCTATCACAATATTGGGAGCTGCAAGCTCGGCAATTGGTATTGCAAGTTTTGGCCTTCAATTGGTACAAATCCTGACGAAGTACGCGACTGATGCTGGCGCAGCCGCTCAAAATCTCAACGCAACATTGACAAACATTCGTGCTGCAAGTGTTTCCTTCGAGTATGTTAATCAATTTCTGAAACAGGAAAGTGAGCGCTTAAAGTTAGGACAAAAGGCGACACTCAGTGCGCGCGGAATCAGACACATTCAGGGTGTTACAGACGATTGTCTAAAGGTATTTTGGAGAGTGGAGGCATGGGTCTTGTACAAGGACGACTCAAACGAATTGGAGCTCAAGATTGCCAATAGGTTGAATGATTACAAAGAGGATGTAAAATTTGATCCAACAAGGCCTTCGCAATTCCTGAAAGTCGATGAAACTTCAGCAAAAGTCCGCAAACTCAAAGAATCGTGGTTTGCGAGATACCTATCCCCGTTACAAACACACAAACTTCTTCAATATGCAACAGAACTTCATCATCTTCAAGGAAGTTTGAATTTGCTTTTCACAGTTATCGGCGTCAGATTAAATGGGCCTCGATCGTAAGTCTAGAAGTTTCTTCGCTAATCTGAAATTGGCTTACACACGTGTAGAGGATCAAATTCTATCAATGCCATGTATGCAGCACCGTATGACATGGCTTCGCGTAGTTTCGAGCAAGTAGTTGGAATGCGGCCAGAAGCAACAAACTATATGTTTCATCCTAGAATGAATGATTACGAAACCCAGCATTTGAACAACCGGTTCATCAATCCAACCGGCAGAAAACATCTTATCCCTGTAGCCAGTGGGATACGATATGTTGATAACCCTTATACTCATATCCCACAGAGTTTCTTCCAACATTCCGAGCTGAATCAAAGAGAGAATACGCCTTTTCGCAGAGTCGTTCCTCCAGCTGTTCCAGATGATCCACTCAACTCAGTTTTGAGAATGAATACTGCGGCCGAAAGCAGCTTTCTGCAAAGTCAAGACTCCAAAGGGAAAACGAATGCCAGATTTAACCACAAATCTACCACTGGATATGCCATAGCCCCTGGCGATGAAACTATCGACGCCGCCAAGAGTTATATGGCACATCATGATGCTGAAGCGAGACTGAAGCCTGAAATCATGAGTGATATGGGAATTCCTGTAACGAAGACATATTTAGACCATTCGATGCCGGCCGAAAAGACAAGAGATATCGACAATCTTTCCACAGTGGCCCAGCGGAGCACAAAAGCTTCTATGAATGTGGACGAAGAGAGTCCAGTCGAAAAAGCTTCTAGGCATCCCGATGACAAAGTAAACCTGCAAAATCAAAAGGAACACGAAGGCTTGAATCCCGAGATCTCCGCCCAATTTTGGCGTCCAAAAGTTTCTGCTAGTAATAATGAAGGGATTGTTCCATCAAAGACTTTTCAGGCGCAACCGACCAACTACCAAGTTGGCCGTAGACAAACCAGCAACATTTCAAAGCCAGCGATGCAAATCAACGATATCGAAGTAGAGGATCAAACAAATGACCCGCGCAACAAATTAGGAAATAGTGTGCCACGGCACGCTCATATTCTGCAGACCAAACAGCTTCAGCCGGAAATATCGCTTAATCTAGAACCAAATATGTACGTTTCGGAGAATCGAGAAAATATTCCTGGTTCATTCCATGATAATTCTGAAGTTCTCATCGATTTTAATGACAACGTTACAACATTGCAACAACCTAGTGCGGTCTTCATTGATGAGATAAGTCAAGCACGAAACTTAAGCCCACAAGCCGTTCAGTATGACCTGCTTTCTGGAGATCTAGATGAACTCCAGGCAGGAATGATGGCAGGTTCGGAGAATCCTATCATCCCGAAATCATACAATACGCCACCCATGGCAACTTCCGATGATACCGTAGAGAAAGTAACGGCAAAAGTACTCGCTGCATTTGCGCCTATCTTATCTATCCAGACAGAGCTTCGTGGCACCATTGATCAGCCCAACCGCAAAGAATACGAACAGTTTGCAATTAAAAAGGAAGAAATATCCGAATCATCAAAGGCAGTGAATCTGCCGATGAAGGAGAAGTTCTTAGACAAGAACAAAAGCAATAAGTCGCAGGATAAAATCATCCCTCAAAGCAGAGCATCAGACGCGTCAATAGAAACTTCATCCTCACCATCTACTAATCGACGCTCTCAACAGAACATCGAAATTAATTCCTGCAAGTTACCCAAACAGCGAAAGGATTTATTATTCGATGATTCAAACCCCGATTGTTCGCCGCCATCGAATTTCGGAAAGCTCCCCACGGATTATCCGGCATCTCAAATATCCAATTCTCTAAGTGATGTTAGATGTTCTGAGGTTGGCACTAGCCAATCGTCGAGGAGCAACTTTTCAAAGCACAGCTTTATCAAGAGTGGTGGCCTCAAAAATATTTTCAGACGCAATAATCTTGCCGAGGATGACATAGACAGGATGATTCCAGAAGGTACCTTCCTTACTGCATTTTTCATTAAGGGTCAAAGCTATCAGCAAATACCTACTGTTAGGAATTTCAAATTACGAAAATCAGAGATCGAGCGGATGCTGTCGCACACTCCCCAACAGGATTGGTGGAAGGAATTTTGCTTTCTTGAATCGGCCGAGACCGCTAGTCTGACCCAGATTTTGAAACCTCAGGAAAATTATAGAAAAGCGCTCATAAGCCTCAAAGAAGTGAAGAAACATTCCAGTCGATTGTGGTCGCGGGGCGAAAAGGGTCACATCGCGATTATCATTAACAAGCCTCTGGCTCACCTTGATATGGCGCCAGATTTTGGCCTCGACTACAGATTTGCACCAACTCGAGTGGATACGAAAGACAGTAGTAATGGTAATGCTTTTGGTCCCCAGCAGCTTGGGGAACTCATCTCACGAGCTATGGACGATAGAGATTGTCTTTATGGTGCATATACAATTCACCCAATACTTATTGAAACTTCGTTTCAGTCGCCTGATTGGGTAAACGCTTATGGCGTCAAACAACATTTCTCAGGAAGACACATACTTGGAAGAATTTTAGAGCTAAGCACGAGTAGTGGGATAGTCATTGCGAAGCTTTTAAATCTCACAGTGCCACAGCAGAGACAGGTCCAAAAGATAGTCGACTCAAACAACGAAGTCAATAGTAGCATCACATGGACTCTTGCACAACTCGAAGTCGTCTATGGGAAGTGTCTAAGTCCTACAAGTGACGGAATCCTATCAATTACAGTATATATTGTTGGAACTTCAAATGAATCAGCAGATAATACTTCAAGATCGGAGAAGAGTGGTTGGACTATGAGTTCCTCATCAACGTTGAAAGACAGAGGTGCCGATGACATCCGAAAAACTTCGAGTCTTAAGAGCGTTGATTTTACAAAATCATTGAATTCTCCTCCAACAACACCCCTGGAATTCTTAACCCCCGGCACTAAAGATACGGAACCAATCCCTCCGAACTCTCCTAAGTCACTGAGAAGTATTTCATCTATATCTGACACATCTGATGTTGATCCATCTGACTCCGAGAGAACGCTTGGCAATTATTATGAAGCTTTGCAGATTCCAACAAATGCGAATGCTGCTGCTATCAAAAAGTAAACATTTCTTTTTCTCTTTATGATCTCCAATAACTATCTCTTCAATTGCTAATTTTGAGAAGGGCCTATCTTTCCTTACGCAAGGACTCTCATCCAACGTCAAACCACTTGGACCTTTCTGCTAGGAAACGCTTTGTTACCGAGGCCTACAGAGCCTTGGGGTACCCAGCAGACGTGAAGCTTACGACAAAGAACACAACTTCAACCAACTACAGCTAGAAAGACAAACGAATTACACAAAATCAAGCAATAATCCATCGGCAAAGTTTAAAAGAACAAAATCCTGGGATGAAAATTACGGAGAAAGAGATGATGTGAGTGATGACGAGAGCTACAATGGTAGACTGCACGTAAGCTTTGTAGAAAGTCGTAGAATGCCTGTACGACGGGGAATAAGGAACCCTGAGCGGTACGAATCAGATGGTCATTCCAGTTCAGATAATGAGCCTCCACAACGAACTCATGGGGTGGGAAGAGTACCATACCGAAGATTTCCTCAACCACTGGCCAAAGACCGGGGCAGAAATTCAACATATGATGATCGTCCAAGACACGCATTATCTAGAAGATACTATAGATCAAGGTCCCCGCCGCTCGAAAGTAGCTCGTCAGATAACGATTCCGGATCACTGTCACCTTTGAGAACCTCGTTCCGTGGCAAGATTCCCACCAATTCTTCCGTGAGAAAATACACAGCATCTACTCCTGGCATGAATTCGTTTTCTGGAAGAGGTCCACCAAGGCCCCCATTGCCTAGAAGTGAATCGTCATTTGATGATTCGAGACCACCATCACCAGAAAGAGGTTCCTTGCACTATTATAGCAATCGACCTGCACGTTCATTTGCTGAAAGGGCCTTTGTGCCCAATCGTCGACCAAGCAACTCCCCGCCTAGAAGAACGGCCTCCGTTGCAAGACCTGTGACTGATAGTGTCAATTGGAGACAAAGACATGAACCGAACCGTAAAGGACCTCAGCCGAACAACTTTAGTGGATCATACAATGATTGGAGCAGATCCAGAAGTATCCAACCACCATCACCTCAGCCATCACCTCGGCCATCTTCTTATAATCTCCCATCCCATCAATTTATACAGGAGCCCGTCATTCCATTCGACCGACGACCGGCATATTACCCTGATCACTATGATGGCAAATCATACAACCCCTATGGAACATTACGGACTGAATATACTGACGACAATATTGTGCAACAGCTCTTATTGGAGTGGACACCAGCAGGTGAAGAAGCCGAGGCGGTAGCAGCGCAGAACACAGACAAGAACAATCGTTTAACTGCAAATCGAGGTTTGAATGACACGTATACTACAAGTTCTAGAGTTGCGAGTCAAAATTATCAAACGGCCCAGGAACAAGTCGAAAAACCGGAGATACCCGATACCACGAAGATGAATGCCAAAGGTGGAAGACGTCCAATGGCAACAGTGGAGGACGATGCTGGAGAATTTTCGGATTCTGGAAGACCTTCATTGTTTCCGCGGCGTGCGATGACTAGTTTCTTTTGAGCCGCAGAGTGCACTGCTCTAGGTACTTGAAGACGTGTTTGTGTGATATTCTCTGGAAGAGTTCGGGGATGCTCTGGGGGGTGAGTTCACAGTCGTTATATTTAACCCCTACAATTAAATTCCAGCCAATGTACTCACCAGATACACTTTAACCAAATTTCTCCGCAGTCAGGCCAATCAGAGTATTTCTCGAAAAGTCATAAAATGAGCTACATGTCGAGATCATACTCAACCTACAACTTACACCCAGCGCTAGTAGACATGGAGATAGAGATTCTTGCCATTATAATTATCTTTCTTTCTTTGACTTCAACGAAATGATATAGGCGCTTCTACAGCTTGAATACCCCAATTTCATATCCCAGTTTCGGGGCTTACCTTTTTCGACCCTTGAAATTATGAATAATGAACATTTGTTATTTAAACATACGATCTCGCAACAGTAGTTCTACATTGAAATTTTCATTACAGGGAGCACTTGCTGAAAGCAGAGTTTCATCTTTATCTCACAGTCCCAAGTCTCAGTTGTGCTTTCCTTCCTTGCATTAGTCTTCTCCACTGGGAGATGAACACTTCCAGATTTCATTTACAGCGGATAACAATAGTTAATGAAACCAACATTTAATCTCCGCATTCATGATTCAATTACAGAAGTATTGTCTACACGCTTTTTCGTTATTATCTTACAGCCCTTAGCAAATCGAGGGATCCTATGAGAATGGATAATTACAGATATTTCTTCAGCTCTCAGTGCTACAGACACTCACTTTGCGGTTTCTAATCATTCAGAGCAGACCTAGTAGACCGAGCAGGCTTAAATACGCAAATTTCATAGAAAACTGGACATTACTACGATTGGATATAATTGCCACCAACATTTCTTCTAGATATCTCATCCCACTCCTCAAAAGTTTGAATGTCTTGGAAACATTCAATTTCGACGCACACTCGTGGCAGCTTTACGGTGAAGAAGATGAGTGCAGCATTGACTTTGGGAAGATTATTGAACGGCTGTCTCATATCAAGCATAGTTTGAGAGATTTGAGAGTGTTCCTAGGTACTCATGCACAGAGAAACTCGGATTTTTCGGTTCTTCGAGACTTCTCGGCTCTCAAGACATTAGAAATTAGTGTTTGAACATTCCTGCCAGCTGAAAAAGTTGCTATGTCCCCAATTTTAGGCTCGGCATTGAACCATGTATTTCCTCATAAACTGCACTCGCTAAAACTCAATTGCAAAGGAATAAGCTTGTGTAGTCTAAGGAGTATGATACAGCCAATGAAAAGACTGGTGGAAGAAATGACGGAGGTTACGACAAGTTTGAAGGAGCTTTATCTCAAATATTTCCCTAGGCACGATTCTCACTCCTTCGCAAGCCATACAGAATGTAGACTATACCAACGCCACCCCTTATTAGCGGAGCTCTCAGCTGAGTGTCAGGAGAATGGGATAACTCTGAAAGTTTCGTGTAGACGAATCTGGTTCCTATGGTACAGTAGGTGAAAGAGTAAGAGTGAAACTCAATTGTTACGTCAGGAACGAACCAGTTCCGTGAATTTGGGAACTCTTTATAGTTTGAGCTTGGAAATTTCAATATCACGAATTATGTGTAGCCCTGATGTCTCAATTTTGTGACTTGCTTCTACTCGGTATATTTGAAGTCCTTCAAAATTCCCAATCCCCTCAAGTCAGTTATCGAAACCTTCTGTTGTCTCGGAACCAACTAAGCTGCCGTTCAATAATTAGAGGCTTCCAATAGCTCAATTCAATCAAACAGTATCCCGAATTTACATAGATATCATATCGCTTTCAAAGGTGCAGAGCTCGTACCTAGTGTTTCGGTTTCAAATATAATACCCTACTCATTGAACCTGTCAGTATTTTTTGAAAGCTGACTGGAAACTGTAGAGAGTTTATTCAAAAAACTTTTTTGTTTGTTTATTCTTCACAACGAAAGGCAACTGCGATATCCCCATTTAGAAACCAAGAGGAGGTCACTCTTTTGCTCCTGCCATCAATATGATTAATGTATTTTAGAAGGCACGGCTCGATGAACCACGATCTGCCATCTTGAGTGGTTCAATCATTACTGCAATGATAAAATAACAAAAAAACATACATCCATTGCAAAACCTCTCTTTCGATATCATTTTGTTTGGCAAAGATCCCTCACCGCACAGCAACATGCCTATAACACTCGATGACTTACCGGAGGAGATTATCATTGGTATTGGATTATGTTTATCTAAAGTTTCCCTTGTAATGCTGGCACAATGCTCCAGCTATTTCTATGCTGTATGTATTGAATTGCTGTATTATCACTGTGCTGTGGAAAATCGGATAATTTTGAAAATACTGATCAACACTATTCTCAATAAACCGGTGATTGGACGAAGCATCCGTTGGCTCGATCTACGCCACTTTAACTGGAATGACTTGTGTCACCCAGCCCCCTGGAAGACAACTTCGCTTGATCTGTTCAAAAAGGCTACATTGGTGCAAAAAAACTTGGTTTCTTGGAATATCTCTACCTGGACGGGGGCTTTTTGGATGGATATATCATGCTGGGCTTTGATAACAGTACTCCTTTGCCTCGTTCCAGAATTAAGGGTACTGGGACTTCCAACACTGGGAGAAGAGCGCCGTTGGCATGGAGTGCTCTTAAGGGGAAGTCATTGCGAAGTCTCTGCATTTAGTGACTTCATTGCTCGACTCGTAAAAGACCAGCGGACTGAATCTCCAGAGGGCGGTTCTCTGAGGGTGCTTACTAACTTAGAAAGCATAACAATTGCACCTGATTTTTGCAACAGAAGAACAGCATTGGATTCCATCATGCCACTTATGTTTTTAAGATCCGTGAAAAGATTCAAAGCGGTCTCAGTGTGGCATCACTCCTGGATGAACAGCCGTAGGCTAAAAGGCGTAACGCCGATACCCAATATTGAGAGTTTGAACTTCGTTTCGTGCGATTTCAGTGATGACATTGTCACTTTCCTGAGGCGTTTCACAGGCATTCAAAGATTCTATTTGGGTGGAAGTCCCAACATCATGGATGAATTCGACGACATACCTTTGTGTGTTGAAAGTATCTTGGAAGGATTGACATCTTCGAAAGACTCATTAAAATACGTCGACGTCAGTTTTGTTTCCCGTAGACCGGGTGACGACTCCCTCTCATTGTCTCAATTCAAACGACTACAGGTTGTAAAGCTTTGGCCATCTCCTTCAATATGGTCGAGTGAAAGCCCAATTGAGGATGAATCTCGGTTGATCAATTCCTTGCCGCCTGGATTGAGAATTCTGGTATGCAAACCATTTTATGATCAACACGATGTTGTTAGCTTGAAACAACTCTATGAGCTCGTCGCCAACAAAGAAACATATGCTCCCGAACTGCGACAGATTGAACTGATTTGGGACGACGCTGGTCTTACATATAAATGTGAAGATTGTGAGAATCATTGCGAATTGAGCGAGAAAATCCCTTTCTTTACGAAGCTCATTGAAGAGTGCAAAACAAAGAATATTTGTATTTTCCCTGGTCACCCCTCATGGAAAGCTACCGGCACCGCAGAGCCGGAAGACTTAGAAAATACTCAAGGACTCTTTGGGGGTTTATTATAGCTTTCCTGTTGTCGTTCCAAGCTTCCGCGGCTACTGTGGAAACTTGCAGAGTAGGCCACGAAGCCTTCATACATGTATGATTAAGATTTGCTGGCTGTAAGAGGAAGGCTTCAATGATTATCTGGGCTGTACTTTTGACTAGATCGTGGGTATACAGCTTTTCCAATACTCAACTCATAACATCAACATTAATCTGATCTGCTATGATTCGCATGGTTTCTGATTTGTGTGATTCGAAATTCACATGCTTTGAAATCCATTGATATGCTTGACCAGAATCCAGGTGGGGTAATTATCCGTACTTACAGGGGCTCTTCCGAGGAGGCACCACTAAAATTATGTACGCTAGAACTTTAAATCGTCATCACCTCATACCTATCACCACATCACCACCAAACCCACCAAACCAAATCGAATGAAGATCATTGTCGTCGTTAATAGAGCTTTGCATACATGGACAACAATGTTTGGTCGAAGATTATGTAATTCTGCATGTAATTCCGACGCTTATGGTGGGGTTTAGCCTTGGAATGGCGTTAAGTGACGAATCCGGAGATATGGGACGAACGAGGGGATACGTATAAAGAGAGCAGAGGTGCCCACCAAAGGGATCTTCTATCTCCTCGATCGAAAAACTGTTTACTTCGAAGAAAACACAGTCAACACATTCATATACAAATATCGAAAATGCCTCGACTTCCAACCCGTAAATTGGGCAGATATGGCCCTGAAGTAGTCGCCCAAGGCTTCGGAACCATGGGCTTAAGTGCTTTCTAGTGAGTTTCATGGACCCTTCTTCATAATTCCTCACGCAGCATAACTTCTTCATCTTGATAAATACATCTAACTCTCCAACAGTGGCAGCACCGAATCCGATGAAGAGCGTTTCAAGGTCCTCGACCGCGCTTACGAACTTGGACAGACCAACTGGGACACCGCAGACATGTATAACGACTCCGAAGATCTACTTGGAAAATGGTTCAAACGCACAGGAAAGCGGGATCAGATATTCTTGGCCTCCAAGTTCGCCTTCAAAACCAATGAAGATGGAACTCGTACTTGTGATACCAGTCCGGAATACGTGAAGGCTGCGTGTGCGAAGAGTTTACAAAGACTGGGTGTTCAAACCATCGATCTATACTACTGCCATAGAGTAGATAAAAAGACTCCTATCGAAAAGACAGTAGAGGCTATGGCTGAGTTGAAGAGGTAAGCCACACCCACCAACATATGTTGTTGAATCCGTGCTAATGACTATGCCAACAGAGAGGGAAAGATCAGGTACCTAGGGCTCTCTGAAGTCAGTCCGAAGACCATTCGCCGTGCAGAGAAAGTACACCATATCGATGCCGTACAAGTTGAATATTCTCCATTTTCTTTGGATATTGAACAGAACGAAGTTTTGAAAACTTGCCGCCAGCTTGGCATTGCCATCGTTGCCTATTCACCTCTTGGCCGGTATGACCTCAATCCAAGCAGTCCTCATAGCTACATACAACATGCTAACCTATCTCTAGTGGTTTTCTTACAGGCCAAATTAAATCTAGAGCTGATTTTGAGCCTAATGATTTCCGTCTCAGCGCCCCTCGTTTCTCCCAAGAGAATTTCCCAAAAAACCTCGTGCTCGTGAAGGAGCTGGCAAAGATCGCATCTGAGAAAGGTGTTACACCAGGACAACTTTCATTAGCATGGTTAGCTGCCCAAGGCGATGACATTATCTCGATTCCGGGAACAAAGAAAATCAAGTATTTGGAAGAAAATATGGAGGCCTTGCATGTGCAACTTAGTAGACAAGAGGAGAGAGAGATTAGGACAGCTATCGAGAAGGTTCAGATCGGCGGCGCGAGATATCCAGAAGCCATGAATAGCTTCTTGTTCGGTGATACCCCTGAGTTGCGATAGTCTGATAATTTTTACCAGCAAGTCGTCTTTCAGTTACTTTAGGTTGAAATTACCAAATTTTCCCAATATCTTGGTATCAGACTTCTACGTGACTTATGGGTTCAATCGAATGGCGATGTTCAAGTAGACTACACATCAGATATCATTCTATAGTAAGTATGAAAACACTTCTCCCAAAAGCATGGGCTATGATTTCCATATTCAGATAAGTCAGACCTCTTTAGCATGACTGCTGGCTACATGATTCGAATAGCATTCTAAAATGACGCACATCACATCAAATATTTGCCCCAAATGCACAATCCATGCTAGTATGTCAAAATTTATATGCACTCTTTCTTGATCATGAACTCTGGAAAGACGTGGCTCCCAACGCGTTCGTGTTCATGACGGGAGAGCCCTGATGAATTGTCGTCTGATGCGTGGCACTATTTGTGTGGAGGTATTTGTGGGGAATCTCGAGCTCTTGCATTAGTCGCACGTCTGGAAACCCTTAGCAGGAAATGGCACGACCAGACCAATCTAAAAGTCTGGGAAACGGTTCCAGCCTCATCTTATACTTTGTTAGGTGAGTCATGTCGTTCGTGTGTTGGGAGTTGCAGTAGCTTTGTGGTGCTTTGCTTTGGTTTTATGGGTCGAGAGGGGTAGGTGGGGTTTATTCAGTCTGAGATTTTCTAAACAGGGTGCGAATAGTGATTGAAAAGTGAGGCTTACTGTTGGACAAAAGATCAAATGAGGTTGGAGGGAAATAAATGGGGAAAGACGGAAGGGCGGACTATGAAAGCTGATGATTTTCAGAGGTTGATATCACGTGGATTCATCAGGTGTGACCAATCATGTTGTCTTGCATATTCACAACCGTTCTAACTGCTAGCATGAACATGCACAAAACTCCAATTATGATTCACGAGATTCTCAAAAGGGTAGAATAAAACTATCCGCGTTTTATGGATTGACTTATGGCATCTACGCGATGGATTGCTCAGCTCCTCTTATCGTCCTTCGCCCCTTATAACCTGCCCAGAAACTGACTCTGGCATATTCCCAATATCTCCTGTCAAAAAACCAGAACTTCAATGTGTTTGTGTATAAGTATCTTATGTGTGCAAAAGTTGTTCTCCGCGTTCCACAAGTGCGAACAAGTAAAAGGCAAAAGAACTTCATATATCCAAGTATTTAAGTCACGAGTTCCTCAACAGAACTCGCGACCCTCGGTCTCAACGCTAGAGGCATTACCCAATGGGCTTTGCTGCGCGACATTCAGACCTTGCTGCATGACAGCTTCATCTCGACGAGCTTGGCTTTCAGCCAATTGAATGGCGTTGAATTGTGCCATTTCCTCGTCTCGAAGGTTTCCAAGGCGTTGCGGAGCAGCCGCAACACTTCTCTCGATACTGGATTCCCAAGGCTCGGGTACCAGGTTCAAGACTTCCATTACCCTTCGGTATCCACACTCGTCCAAGCGGACCATGTGGGCAAGCTTTGCGTACCGACTGCAAGCTTGAAGTTGCTTTATGGGAACAGCGTAGATGTGATGTACACGCATGTACGATCGTCTCTGCATGCTCCCTCGCGAGAGAAACAACAAGGTGTTGCCTCGTTGATTGAGCTCAGCGTGGTGCTGTGACTCTTGGTTCTGCTCGTGTTTCCGCACAGCGTCGAGCTTGTCACCCTTCACCTGGAGTGTTTGTTGTGGCACCCACGACAATGGCATAGTTTCTTTAAGATACCATTGCGTTGAAGGATCTGGTCCAAGTGTGCGCAGCTTGTTTACATACTTGTCCAGAGGCATACCACTGAGGGTTGTCATCTAATTTGATCAACTGTTAGTGATATTCTTGAGAAACGTTTGGGCATGGTGCTGCAGAGCTTCTGTAAATGCAAATAGAAAAATGGAACGGTAAGTGTGTAGATCAAGTCTGCCTGATTCTCACAGAAATATTCCCGGAATGGGGGATCAAGATGAGAAAGCAAATTAGTGAAGACTTACCAGTGCAACGTCAAGTATGACGTCACCAACGATGTTGGAACCACGACGTTGGTTGATCCTCAAGATCATTACTGGATGATTGCGGCCATCCTTGTCTTTGACCTTGTCGTTGCATTCGTGGTTTTGGACACAGATGATTGGTTCGTGCCCGTCCTCGTAGTTGGAAAGCCATACAATGCACCCCGGCATTAGATGCTCGGCGAGCAAGTGGTACTTCTTGGGTACCATGGCTGGTTTTCGTTGGATGGCAATATCGTCATTTTCAGGAGTGGCACTGCCACTGCTGTCAGACTTGCCTGCTGGTGTTGATTGTGGTACCCGAGAGCCAAATGATGTTGGCTGCGACGTCCATTGCACTGAGGAATTCTCTACCTTCTGACTCAATCTATTGTTGACTGGGGTAGCCAGTGAAGATTGATCAGAAAGAGGGGTCGGATGGGTACCCCTATGAGAACTATATGCATCTGCTACGGTTGGACGCAGAGGACTATTGTATTGAGGTCGTCCTCGTCGGCTAGATGGCACGGGTACACCTGAACGGAAGGCATTGTTGCGCCTAGTGTATACTTGTGGTATTGGAGATGACGGCTGCATAAGAGCATTGTACTGCCGGTATCCTTGAGTGTCTGGACTGACTTGGTGCCCTAGATTACCGTTGATCTGTGGAGACATGCCAAATTGCTGGAGAGGGTTTCCTCCTTGATTGAGTCTCCCATATTGAGGTATTTCTGGGTCTTGGTACGATGGAACATTACCAGGATTGGTACCATAGTTGGACTGGAAGTGCAGGGGGTCATATACTTGGTAGTTTCGCTGAGAGAAAGCTGCTGGGCCCTGATAATGCTGCTGTACTGGATAGAGTTGAGGAAGAGGATTAAGCATGCGACCTAACCCGAAAGCTTGTGGAGTAGGCGCCCTCTGATCATTTTGGAATGTGGGATTCAAGTTACCGTTCTGAGATAGATCGGCTGATGAATCGTTGCTCGAGGATGGATTTGGTACAGAAATTGCAGGGAGTAGGTCGAAACGGCTGTCTTGTTTATCAGCCATTTTGATATTGCAGAATCAAAATGATATGGGAATGATACAAAATCGGTCTTCTGGAGAAGAAGATATTCGAAAGATGTTTATAGGCACAAGGAATCAAGAAGATTTTCCAAGTTGTATGTTTGTCAAATCTATTGAGATGTTGATTCGAAGGAAGTTGCAAAGTCGGAGAAGTCGATGCCTTTAAAGATGAGAAACTGCTTAGCGTTGCCAAAAGGACCTTGCTGTAGTGAATACATATCTTCAACTCGCTACGGTGGCTGGCTGCTGCACAAACGAGATTGAGTGAATGTTGGTTATTATTGTTTTTGTGGTGAATCAGCGAACCCTTCACTTTAAACATACCTCTAGATTTTGGTCCTTAGAAAGGACTGAGGAAGTCCAGTTGTTAGACAAGGATCCAGGCTATAGGTCAAAGAAGTCACTGTTTGCTATATATAATGAATGTAGAGAAGATTGTGATTTCTGCTACTTCTTTATCGGCAGGAAGGCTTGTTGGCTTGTTTAGATCTTTCAACTGGTCTTTCAACTGACTCAGGGCGCGCCCATGATTCCAGAAATTTATCTTTCAATAGAGACATTCACCCAATCTACTTTCCGATCTACAATTTCACTGCAGCTCATGATATTTCTGATGCATCTTACGTTGTCATTCCGTCTATTGTCCCACCCTGATTCCGTGGAGTCATTTTGGAAAACAAACCCTAGTCTAATAGTGATAATGCCATGCAATTTACTATTCACTATTAGCAGGCGAATAGAAAATTTAGAATTTCATGCTTAAATCGACTAAGCGAGAGATTCACCTGTAAAAGCTCAATAACCGAAAGCGATTATCTCAATACACAGATCTTTCCCCGCAACAAACCGCCACTAGAGACTTTAGCGAACGGTGACAAGTGAATCTCTCGCGAAGAATGCTATGCTTGCCAATACAAGATTTTCAATGCCCTTGATCAGCTCAATAATTACTTCACAGTCGAACTGGAATTGATGGGCTATTATATAATTTTCTATCCCTGATTGCTTGTAAGTCATCTGCTAATTCAACCTGAGCAGCTGGTTCATCTAGCAAACCTTCACAATCCATCCGCACGATTGAGACTACCGATGTGTCGAGCTGGAGTATTTGGCACATACGATTCGGATCGGAAAAACTTCAGTATTTCAAAATTTGATGCTTTGTTTCACTGACTTTTGGTGAGATGCTTTACCGAAATTCCAGAAAGCCTGTAGATCTGGCTTTTTTTGCCCGACTGCGTGAATGGTCTTGACCGATTCAAACAAAGAATTTAACTACAAGCAAGTGGCTTAGATACTATAGCTCTACGAGCTAGATGCAGACATTCTCAGTATTTTCAAATATAATTTTTTTGGCGGTAGACAGCTCGGCATCAAACTTCAACATATAAGATCGGCCAGTTTCCAAAACTGGCAGCGATGACATGAGATCCCTACTAAAGATCTCACGAGATGTTTCTTCCCCCGGTTGTTGATTAATGATATGGCTTTGTACTGTATCAACTATAAGTTAAGTAGCTTTGTTTGGCCTTATCCTGCCTGAGCATTGAAAGTGAAAGATCCCTTCATTGGTAACTTTAAGTTCATATCAGCTTGATTATCTACTAACGAATCAATGATCAAGAAAATCCACGCATTCTCGTTTTTGCAGTCTCAATTTCAAGTCTTGAAGAAAGAATATAGACAATTTCCTTTGGAAATATCACGACCATGGTCACCTAACCGCCATGTATAGTGAGAGTAAGGTTCGACTATCCTGCAGCGAGCTTTCCATTATATCTCAGCATAAACAAACGCGCCTGGGCAAAATGGATTCTTGTATCACCTGAAGCTTTTATATAACAGCATTTCAAAAGTGTTAAATTAAAAATCATATAATAATTAAGAAGCGTTGCTCTTAAGACAAACATCCATCATTGATGACTGATGATACTCATCCACAAACATTTATTCCTCCCTGATGGTGATATTCTCTTCATATGAACTTCTTTTTCTTTTTTTTCAAGGAAGAATCCTGGGTACAGCTACCACTATGTTCATTCCAGACTTTGGGTGCTAAGCCCGGGTGCGACATCCAATCTTCAGGTCGTGATCTGCTCCGGATAACTTCTCCATACCTAAGCAAAAAAAAGGCAGAGAAGCAAAAGTTAAAGCAATAAAAGCTTGAACAGATTTTCTCCAGTCTAAAGCTAGGGATCGATATAACGGTGGTCCAGCCAGCGGTAAATTTGGGGACATTATAGTTCATTTTATCCACCAAACATCTGCCTAGTAAGAGGAATACCCAAGCTTCTCAAAATCCAATAAACAGAAACGTTATGGTAGTACTATCGATACGCAAAGCTGAGAGTGTAATCGAATTGTGACACAAATAAATACCAGGACCGGAGATATCATCTCATACTGGCATTATCCGGCCCCCTCAATCACACTGGAGTCAAAAACGGCGTAAATGGTCGCCTAATTGGAAAGAACTGGCACAGTCTAATGCCGTCTAAAATCTTGATAAGTATCTTGCAATCAAAGATTGAAGGTAATACTACTTTTGCCTCGGATGGAAAGTTGAATGACAGCATGTGTAAGAAGTAACAGGGCATTTCCATAGGTATTTTTGTCGTATTATTTCTGTACATTGTGCAATTATGATATCTCCAGTGTTGCAATTGGATTGGCTAGCTTTGTGTGTCGTCGCTTGATAGATATAATAGGTACATGGATTTTGATACTAAGGGTAGGTACTAAGTGACATTAACCTTGATTAAATAGCTTCTTTTCGGCGTGCATGAACCTATTTTACTGCGGCTGCGGCACAGATGAAATATTACAAGGCTTAGAACAGACTGGACCACGAAGACTGTGAGCCCGTTACAGCAATAGATAAGAATAGATGCACCTTTGTCAAGATTGTGTTTCCATTAGCTGTAGGAAACACCCACCTCTTGTTCTCGATTGCCCTTTGATTCTTTCTTTTGATTGAATCTTAATCATAGATAATGACAAATTACATAGTGAGCAGACTCCAGACGAGGGAGCAGCTCGATGCGGTACTTGAAGTTATCTTTAAAGCTCAATATTCTCCGTATATGCCATCAAGCTCTGTCTTTTTTCCCGCATTCGGCTATTCATTGGAAGACCGAGCTGCAGGAATTACTGCACCAAAAGAACGATTGTGGAAAGAGCATCTGGCGGCGAATCTTGCGACCAACCACTGGGTAATTGTCGAAGAAAAAGAAAGCTTGAAGATTATCGGTGGCTGTTTGGAAATGGCATGATGGAAATACATTTCCTGATGGTATTCTGAAGCCCAGTGTATACTGGTGGCCAGAGGGAGAGGCGAGGGAGTTTTGCGAAGAGACGATAAGGCAGTCCGTGACGCCAAGAAGCTTTTGGATGCATAGTAGGAATTCTGGTGAGTTGCAATACTAGCATATCATCTTAAGATTCATTTCTAGCCGCCTACTATCCAGGAATATACATGATGATCGTACACCCAGATCACAGGTCTCATGTTGTTGGTAGACTGATGATGGAATGGGCCAATACTAGGATCGATAAAATGGGGATAGAAGGTTTCATTGAAGCTAATGAGCTCGGTATGCGCTTGTACGAGAAGTGGGGATATCGAATTGTGATGAAGCTCGATTTATTCATTCCTTCCCACAAGTCAGATTTGTGGAACAAGCTTTCTGATGAACTCAAAATACCTACTTGGTACGCAGGTAAGTTTAATCGATCCGCTTATCAATTTAAGAAGCCCCGGCGGCGAGGGAGGTCTCTTGCAAATGCCAAGCTTGTGACAACACTATTTTCTAGTGTGGAGACCACTTAATGGAGTCGTGGAAGAAGGTTAGCGGACCCGTCTATTGCAGCCCTCATGGGATGTTCGCCGAAGATTCCATTTTTGATGTTTGGGGGAAGTAATTTACTCGACGATGAGAACTTTCCCCCTTGGAACTTATGTTGATCCGGCACTGTACTGAATGGTTTACACGAAAAAAATCACTGTCAGCCCCATGGGCAAGCTTCGAATTCAATGTTTGTTCAGTTATTGACAATCTAAAATTATCTTGCATAATCTAAAGAACATCTCAGCACCTATCCCACAATTACAAAAATTAGGTATGCAAACATGCACCTTTGATGTGAGAATCAGTCACTCAACATACTAGTGTATATTAATTGATAGAACTAACTGAATGGACCTTTCGCAATTGTTTCTACGTCATGGCATTGATGCAATCAGAAGGGGTGCAGTAGGTTGGTCAAGATCGCACCAAGGTTATATTTAGATGCGACTGCTGCAATTTGTCGACGTCACTTTCTCTTAATGAATGAATATCTTGAGCGACGAGTGGAGAAGTCACATAATCAATCACCTCGTCTTCTATTGCATATCACAAGTGGGTGCCCGCAGCGTCTCTCCAAGTATATCGTACATTTAAAACCACAGGCAGAAATCCATGTACTCCTTTTAATGCTTATCAAACACCACTCCTGAACCCACTGAAAATATGCGCCATCCATAAACCCACTCAATGCCACAGAAAACCCCATCAAAAAGTACCATTTGCCGACCACAATATCTTGAAAGCTCCGAATACTGTTCCGAGACTCAAACACCCTGCGAAGAATCTCAAAGCAACATGTCTCCACCCATGATCAACAAACGGCCTGAAAGAATGATAGCGCGCCGTCAATGGAGTAGGTGGCTGAATCGGATATGGAGTAAGCAGTTGCTGATTATTGACAGTCCCATACCCGGCTACTCGTGGAACGTCGAGGAGACTCTTAGATTTGGGTATTTCATTCAAGGTAAATCTGACATTTCTTCGTTGTCCTAACGGGAGAAGAGGAGATGTCGGAGCAGTTTTAGCATGAGGACAATCCGGTGAGGCAACTGGGAAGGGAGTAGTGGGGTATTTTTTCTTCTCCACATCTATTTCGTTTTGAAGGGTAAATGATACCTGTGCTGTTTTTGATATTAGAGATGGAATTTGCCTATTTTGGGAAGCAAGCGCCTCGAGACGTGCTCGCGCGGTCTTGTAAAGCGAAGCAGTTTCTTCGTAGGGCTCATTTCGAAGACCCATTTCCCCCATTAGACTATTATAACTTGTGGCTGACAGTCGAAGCTTATAAGCTCGATGATTTCGAAAGCCAAACGTGGAAAGGCTGCTGGAAGGCACCTTGAAGATATGAGCAAGATTAATGTAGGATTGCTTCTTAAGCGCTCCCTTTTGCAGACGAAGAAGCCATGATGGTGTACTTTCGACGCAGCTATCCTGATCTATCGGACTAATGGGTAATGATTGCTGAAATTCAGAGTTGTGTGGACATTTCGATAAATAGTTTTCCAAATTCATATCACTGAAAGTGGTAATCTGCGACTGGTCAATACATATTTGATAGAGTGATTCATTGTAACGTACGGTAGCAACGTAGCAAATTAGGTCGCCGCGTATACTCGAGCCTTTCTTTGTCTAATCTTGAGAATGACAACAGGATTATTGTATCCATCTTCTCCAAGTCCCTTTCCACAACAATCTCTTTTGCAACATTTAATGCTCTTGTCGAAACCCTCTGAAGGTAACCAAACAATGCACCCAACACAAAGATCACCCGATCGTACTTTTGGTCGAGGAAAGTTCTCGTCACTTGGTGGAGGCGTAAGGGGTTTTGTAGACTTCAACTCGCGCGGATACGCGATGGCCATTGCAGATAATAAGGAAAGAACGACGACGAAGAAATATTGCGACTCACTGGTGTCCAGTTACCTTTTGGATTGTGGGCGGGATGGTAGAGAATGATATAGTTAGATGATTTGATGACAACCCGTTATTAGTAGGTGCACATTAAATCAAACAGTTTGTAAGAGTATAAGCACTTTTTATTTGATCAATGCCTGTTAATCGTTGGCAAACCCAACCAAGACAAAATGAATCCTTCCCCTCAGCCCCGTGTTTGCAGGAGTGATGAAATGTTTTACTCCGAGATCTCATGGACAGACCGAACCAACACAACGTTTTTTGATCACACATACAAAATAATTTCGCGGAAGTATATCGATTGGTTGGATGCCGCTTGCTAGGTTGGAGGGAGTCGGCGCTTAAGGTCATCTCAGGTCATAGCAAAGGCGAGGCTGAGATGTGGTCATAAACCTTTGACTGTAGAAATAAGGCTGGGTGCAAGGCCAGTAGACCTGAATGGCCCAAAAAATGTCGAGATGCAAAATGTTTTGATCAATGACGAGATATCATTTTCGACCCGAAATATCTTCGGAAGAAACTTCCTAGCTCTCTCAAGTGGTGCCTGCCAGTTTTGCTATTTTAGGCGACAAGTGTTCTCCATAGGCCGGCCTTGAGGCTATCAAAAAAGACATGAAACATCAGTAACGCGGACGAAAGAAAGACTTGGTAGTACGTTAGGTCAGTACAATCAACAGCCAAGTAAGCTCAATTTCCAATTTCGAAGTCAAAAGTGATAGAGTTACCATTGCCGATCAGAAACATTAAATAATCGATTATTTAGTTCTGATTGTACAATTAACACTATTCAATTCGATAAGTTCGAGCAAAAGCTCTTCACTAAAACTCTTCAACCATGTATTAAAATTTGTTCGAATAATATTTCTGTTGATTCCAAAAGATGGGAGCCAGCGGCAAGTAAATCGAAGTATCAAGCCAGCGTCTTTCTTGGAATAAGCCTGCTCTAATTCCTTCGATGATAGAGCTGATTCACTGACAGCTTTCAGTATTGATTAAAACCATAATTCCGGTGAGGAATATCACCGCCATATTCTTCACCCACGATTTATCTGATATGATTACCACGTAGACTGTCAAAATTCTGACTGTGGGATTTTCTTTTTCAAAAAAAAGGCGGCAGAGTGAGACCACTGAGATGTTGTAATTGGACTAACATGAGCATGTGTAGTGACCTTATCTCAGACTGTCAATTTTTGACCGAGAGAAAATGGGTATTGGCACGGTGATGTGAACAATTCTGAAGCTCAAATATCCGATCGCTTGACGGACGCTATTAAAGCTCAATATGGCTCTTTTATCCCAAGTAAGTTCAGCTGTATCGAATTAAGTACTGTCGTCGGGCCGGGAGTGGATGCTGATGAGATATAGAAGCTAGAAATATTCTCTCGAAGACTGGCGTCTTTAAGCTGATGCGGAATATGATTCTTCAAGTGCAATAGGGACGCTTGTCAATATCGACAGAAGGCAATGACCCTGTATCAAGAGTGGTTGTGGTTCCTGTAGCGCCCCCTCTCCCTCTTTTTAGATCATTAGTTGGAACAAACTTTTCTTTCTCCAGTCCAATTCTCTTCATAATCTTGCAATAAGAATCTTCGGTAAATCTCAAACCATAAGCATGCTTAGTGCCGGGATGATTCTTGGGCTTAAATGTTACGAAAGAGTCAATTTTGAGAGTATACCTGTGCTGAAGTTGGAGGTAACAACGCTTTGTAAAATTTATCCCACTGGGCTCAACGGCATATTTTAATCCATAATTGTTTTCTTCGGGTCGCCAGCGACATTTTGGGCCAAAGGCGCAAGGGGTGAGTGCTCCAGGATCTCCGCGTTTGTTCAAGAATTCTTGAAAGGTACCGAAGTCGCTCCCCAGCGCTGAAATCTTTGATCTACGTTAGTCTATATAAGGTCAATGAGATATGAAGAATGCTTGAGCTCACAATTACAAAGGTAACATAAGTTGTACTATGCCTCTCTCTTATACCCAAAACCAGAGCTGGATGCCCATAAGACATCTTCTCCAATTTGCAATGTTTGGCGGTATCATCACACCCATTTAGACACTGCGTGCAGAAATTCGGGCAACGATTCTCCGAACAAATTCCTTCGCAAGTATTTTCGGCTTTCTTTCTGCGTAATTTTACAATGCAGCCTGCACCAAGCTCATGCTTCTTCAGGGCAGTCTCTGGTACCATGACGACGTGGAATCTGGCGAGCAGACGTTGGATAAGGTCGGCTTTTTGAGAAGTAAGATAGATATGTCGGAGACGTGAAAGAGAAATAAATAAATGATAGGTGAGAAAGGCAGTTGAAGGTGCAATTTGGTGGTGATATCCGGATTGATTGCTGTCATATCGTCGTGGAGACTCAGAGTATTCACAACCTATTTATCATAGCTGCATCTTCCTCCACCAAACATTTGAAACACAAAATAATCACCGAGAATCTTCACGATACCTAATCGCGAATATCCATCACTAGGTGGAACAGAGACGGTTCTGATCGTTTCCTGTAGTTCGAATCATCCATTTTCTGTAGCTGTGGCTTTCATGAAACCCGAGGTCATTCCCTTAACAACCGTTTCAATACGTTGAAAAAAAACTTTTTATACAATGTATTATGTTAACCATACTAATTATTGCGCTTATTACCCGTCGATGTGTGCATCTTCTCGAAGGTCCTAAAAATTTGAGACACCCTCCATAGATTTAACACAAAATCTCTTGGCAAAACAATACACTTTGTCTAGACTGCGACTTCGATACATCAACTTTCGTCAATTGGGTACCGGAAACTTCCATTCGTTTATTTTTTCTTCCGTATCCTCGTCGTTGTCAATTCATCTCCGCCCCGAAACAAGAATCAGCCCTAGAGCCTTAGAACTTTCTAATTTTTCATTAAAACCTTATACGATTCTCACATTATGAAGAGATATTGATATTGATATGACACTGAGCATTCCGGGCTAAAAAATCTGAACATTCGCATGGAAACTATCAGGAAAACAATAAGTTATACTTTCGCAATGTAGTAATTGTAATTTGCACATACAATAGTATTCGGTGCCCGCAGCAAATACCCATAGTGATTCTCAAATTCAACACGCAATATTCCACAGCATGGTCCCAGACCGTGATATTTCCTACTAATTCCTCTGTCGACTCCTGGACAACGTTCTTCTGACTCCAGGTAATCATAGGGATTGTCTGCATTTCGTTAGTGCATCTACTTAAAAAAAAATGGATTTTGTAGCTTACTCCCACAACGACGCTTCACAGTTTGTAGTTGTTGAGTAGGTGGCGGTGGAGCTGGTGATGATGCTTGCAGCAATCCATTTCTGATACGCGAGTTAGGATGAAAAGTATTGGCATGAAGACCCAATCTTTCTATTAGATCAAGATATGATTGGCGAGTAATTCGGTATTCACAAGGTCTTGCCTGTCCCCAATCGTACGCATCAAATCTTGACAAGTTGAGCTTAAATATGTGTTCTAATCGGGACTGACTTGCATCCCATAGATTTCGGCGACTCTCAAGCGAGTAGTTTGTTCTGCACTGAGCACGACTTCCATGTCTAAGCGGGGTAGAGTATACGCCTTTTAATGAGTCTTGTGAACTCGACCAGAAAGATCTATAAACAATATGCAAGATTATTTTAATTTTGGAACTTACTGTAAGAAATTAAATCGAAGGATTTGAATGCCGCGGGTTGTAAGTGTTGATGACAAGCACTGGACGATAAAATCTCTTAATTCTCAGCAAATGTCCTTTGAACCCAGTGTGGCGTTGACAAGGGGAACGAAACCCCTCTCCGTTGGAACGATGGTAAGGCGGAAGCCACAAAACACATCCAACACCAATTTCATGTATCTGTAAAGCAGTTCCATGTCCATTGCTCATCTTAGATAGATCTATATAAATATTCTTGTAATATTGGAAAGACAAAAGAGTGTGGGATAAGATATAAAATGCTAATCTGCCAGAGATATGGAGCGGAATGACTTTTCCTTGTGAGGAATAGCAAATGATTATATACAACCATTCCATTTTACTCGACTTTGAACGCCAACTCGAAAGTATCAAGAAGTACCAAAGCAATGTCAGAGACAGCAACGGCCTAGAATCACGAGGCGCACCAAGACCGAAGAGCAATTCTTTTCTCATTGTCTACATGACGAAGTCTCAATGGCTTTCTTTCAGATGTTTCTAAATAAGACTCCATTCATTCAAGTCATGGACTCTGCAGTCACTGTACTAGAGAAACATTTCAACATAATCAAAGAAATCATCGCACGGGTAACTTTCCCGACGCACAGTCCATCGATATCAAAATCTCAAAATACATCCTCATTGACTCACTTGAATCAACCTTAGAACTCAGTGTCTCCGGCGGTCTCTCAATTCGTGCCTCAATTTGCCTTCCTCACTGCAGGCCCAATCCCAACTCCAATAACCACGGCCAGTCAACCAACCGCGACCGCGACCCTAGAATCTTCCAACTTTGGAATGTCGTAGCCTTGCTTCGATACATTCATTGTGCGCTTTGCAGAATCACAAAGAGTTATTAACTCAAATCTTAATCATGGCATGGTATTCAAGACATTAAAATTGTTGTAAATTTTTAAGGATGAAGACGATGATGTTGTTGACGTTGGTAGGAAGGAATTGGAAAATGAAATGTTGGTGTTGGAGATTAGCTCAGGTGTGGAGTCTCAGCCACCAGCCAACTGTGGCACAGTAACCTACCTGTGTTGGTCGGAGTTAGGCGAGGATGAAGCGACGACAGCAATTTTAAATTACAAACTTTGATATTAATGTTTGTATGGTGTATAATGGCAATTATGTCCGGATTAGGAAATCATAAATGTAGCACAGAGACCTCGAGAGAAAATCCAAAATGCCCTGGAATCCCTCCATAACGTTTGGGCGAATCCTCTCCAACCTGCTGGATAACTGAGTCCACAGTTTCTCGCCAGCTGCAGCACCATCTTTACTCGTTACAAAACATGATTCACTATAGTTTGAGTAGAAAGCTATTCCCTATCTGTCGCTATTCTGGAGGAGTGATGAACGCGCGATAAAAGTCCCCCATTTTCAACGTATTTTCCAAGAGATTTTTTGCCAAATGAAGTTGCAAATACTAAACTTCTCGCACCTTCTTCAGTTGTTCTTTCCATGAAGCTCTCTAGTTTCTTCTGAAAGAGAGTGGCAATCTCGGTTGAAAGATTCGATTGGCGCCAACCTGGTTGCACTGTGTTGAAGACAACCGGGTAGTTTGTGCCGTATAGAGATACAAAATGACGGACAATATGTATCTCCATGAGCTTCGAAACGTTATGTCTGTGTAATTTTTAACGGAGCGGTTTTAATCAAGAAGCAGACGAATGTACCTATCATTCATACAAGGATGCAAATATATCATCAGTTTTCCATTCCGAGAAATCACTAAGGAAGTGTAGATCGGAGGACACCATCGTCATACGTGGTATTGTACCGGAAGAGTTTGCAGTTTCTTTCAGTTTCGAAACCAATTAAAATGCCATCAAGAAAGTTAAAATGACATTCACTGTGATAGTTGACTCGTTGTCCTTCGCTACACGATATTCCTTGGTCATAATCCCCGCATTTAGGAGCATGACATCCAAACGAGGCAGAGATTTTGCCTTTTAATAAAACTAAATGACAGATGTATAAGAAGATAAATCGACCTGCCATGTTTCTACAATATCTTTACTTATAGCGAAAGTCTGTTCCAGCTCGAGCTTGGCTTGATCTACTTTCTCGAGAGAGCGACAAGCAAGAATGACTCTGGATGCTTTGAGTTTGAGGTAGAACTTCGCTGCTTCAAAGCCTAGACCTGTATTTCTACCGGTAATTATGATGGTTTTGCCTTCGAAAGAAGTTCTTGGTGGAGGCACCTTGACGATAAACTGGGGGTATAGTAGTCAAAGTGCAAACGCCATTTTGAAAGAAAATGAGAGACAGCGGTAATTTTTATACTTCAAAGCGGGGGGAGGTTGCTTGATATGAAATCTCAGAGAACCAAGAACTTAGAGTGGTTTACTACACCATGTCACTTTCCAAGGGAAAAAGACGAGACCTTGACAACTTTTTAACATCTCGAAATTTGACTTTATCTCATTAACCCGTTTGGTGCAGCATTAACGTCGCCAAGAGTCAGAACTGGTACTCCAAAATGGAGATAATTGAAAATTTGGACTCATGATATCTTTTGACGGATGCATAAGATCGCAAACCCGAAAAGAAGATCGTCGGACATATTATTAATTATGTCCCCAGCAAAGAAGGTCTGTTAATAACGGATTTGGAGTCGAAAATTGGACTTACATCCGATGCGGTCTAACGGCCGCACACGGACGCAATAGCCGCATACTATAAATCCGTCGGAAAGCTAACTCCGTCAGAAAGCAAACTTCTAAACTCATTGATCCGTTTGCTAAAATTCTCTTTCGGAATTACTGCTACTCTGTGGATACTGAAATGTGAGTTTTCGGCCGAATCTAAGGTCTCCTCACTTGGAAATTGGTAATCATTTCGGACTCTATTCAATTGATACAGTCCATCAATGCAAAAATCTGGCAGTGAACATCGATGATGTCAAGCAAATGCTGTGGATGGAGAACTGAATGCCCTTCGCCGATGGATTGGGGCCCATAATGTTGTGGATTGGAATGAACTGTGATAGAGTTCAAGAGCGATGAAACCATGTATATAAAGACTGCATTTCTCAATCACCAGAAAGTTTCTACTCATCAACAACACATCATCAACATCAACATCACAATCAACCTGCCAACACATCTTTCCATAGTTCTCTGTCTCGATTCAATAAAAACAGCAAAATGGCCAGTCAAAAGCAATTCGGTCAAGAGACAAGTGGCGCTGAAGTCGTTGCTTCATTCCCAAAGTCTGTCGCTGACAAGACATGTAAGTTTATCCCTTTATCACTTACACATGAACCTGCTCTGAACATTCTTAGTTGTTATTACCGGCCCAACACCAGGCGGACTTGGAGCTCAAACAGCTTTGCTACTTGCTGCATCTAAACCAGGAACTATTCTCCTGCTCGGACGTGACGAATCTAAAGCCGCACCGGCTGTGGAATCAGTGAAAGCGGTTTCTCCAAGCACAACCGTTAGATTTGTTCTTTGTGATCTTGGAAGGTATTCATCCATTAAAGCTGCAGCTGATTCTGTTCTGGCTTTCACTCCCAAGATCCACACTCTTATCAACAATGCGGGTGTCATGGCGCCAGCAAAATACAACACTACCGCCGAAGGTTTGGAGGTTCAATTTGGTGCAAACCATGTTGGGCATTTCCTTCTGACAAACCTACTCATGCCAGCTATTGTTGCTGCTGCATCTGAAGGGGCACGAATTGTCAATCTGTCCAGTATGGGATGGTCATTGGGCGAAGTTAGATTCGATGACTATAATTTCAGTGATGGGAAGGACTATGACAAATGGTCAGCATATGGCCAAAGTAAATCAGCAAATGTTTTGTTTACTGTTGAGTTGGCAAAGAGATTGAAAAGTAAGGGAGTACACGCATTTGCTGTTCACCCTGGCGTGATCATCACGAATTTGGTAAGAGAGATGGATCCGGAAAAAGATTATGGCTCTATGACCGAACGTTTCAATTCCAGAGGTAATTCAGACTTTAAAGTCCATCATTAAACATAGTCCAAGTTTTACTGACAAGAAAATTAAGGACACATAAAGATGGATGGCTCATTCCCTTGGAAGAGCTTAGAAGCAGGCACATCAACAACATTAGTTGCGGCTCTTGACCCAGCTTTGAAAGGTAAATACATCCCTACTTTCCAATAACCATACCTTCTCAATGCTAACACTTGGAAATAATACAGATCACTCGGGTACCTACCTTGCCGATTGTCAAATTGCTGAAACGGCAGATTATACTACCAACCCAGACTACGCAGAGCGCCTATGGGCGCTGAGTGAGAAGCTTGTAGGACAAAAATTCGATTTGTAAGGAGGTTATTCTACTAGCACCAACATAGATATAGACTCGCCGCTCTTGGTGAATCTTGTATCTTTTAGCAATTGATAGATTTTGTCATTCTCCTTGCATATGATCATCCCGGACTAAATTGATATTTGAGAGGAAAAATACACAGCGAGATATACTTCATCTAAAGATGCGTACTATCATCAAGCGATATATGACAAAGATTTTCCCGGTACATCGAACTCAGATCACCAATGTAATTGTTCCAGTCCTCGATAAACTTCTCATAACTTCTAAACTTTCAGGGCTATAAAATCCATCCCTTGCAAATCGAGCGAGTCGACGGATCCAAAAACCTCTGCCGTATGTATCATCCATATACGTTGGGTCCACGTCCTGCATTATCCGGTCAAAATACTCCTTAAGAATCGTTACATCCTGATTGAGCGGTAGATCCAAAAGTTCGTCATAGTCACCGTTCCATGGAAATGTAAAGTTACTACGTTATTCGAAACGCTCCTCATAGAACCAGAGCCAGGACCTAGGAGCTCTAGTCAAAAATAACGGCATGGACTTTACATCATCCCAATCAATGACTCCACTAACTTCCCATCTTCCAGTTTCGGACTTTCCGACAAAGATATGTCGAGGCTCGAGATACCAGTGCCATAATACGTTGATTGAATCAGATGATTTGAAAAAATGTTTCGCCGACATTTCCCACTGCGCATCATTTTGTGTTCTGATAGTCTGGTGGGCTTTGATCATAGTGGGGAGTAATGAATATAAGTCCTGATTTTCAAGAGGAGGTGCGCTCTCCATGAAGTTCCGAGAGAAGCCAGCGAATTCAATCCGTGATGCGGAACAAGCCACGGAAGTTGAAGTCCATGGTACAGCATGAGTGCCAACCAGTCTTCCCGGCTTATCCAGAGTGGTTGTTTCTAATTTGATTATGAACTCTGCAATAGTGTTTACAACTTCAAGTCTCATAGACATGGCAAGCTGTGTAGGAACCTCGAAGAACAAATCATCCAGAGGTATTCCTTGAATCCTCTCTTGTAACACAGATGGTGATTTGAGAGAATTTGCAGCGGTTGTATCGATAGCTAGAACCTTAGGTACATGGAGGAATGCGAATTTCTGAAGCCACATATTTATTTCGGCCTGGTTCTGGATATCTGTCTGCTTGGACCATTTCATATCCCATTTTTGCGGAATCCGTAGAATACGTCGCTGAATTCCAGAGTCACTTCGAAATGGCAAGCCAATCACCCTGTTGTAACTTCCTCCATCCAAATGCTTTATAGTTGATGGTTCGACAAGGCCAATATCAATACACAACTGATTGACTTTACAGCGGTATGTATCAAAAGGTTCTTTTTCGTACATGTAAGTAGACGATCCGGTTAAAGACCGGTCTTTTATAGAAGTTTTGTTGGAACCGATGTCTTCATGAATAAAGTCATCATCTGGGTGATCCAAATTCTCTGTACTAGCATTGGCAGCATGATTATCATGGCTCTCATTTAGCTTGGAATGATTTTCGTCTTTATAGCACTCTACAAGTGTATCGAGATAGGGATCGCAAAAGGATTCAGGAAGTGGCACACTAGTAAATGTGATTCCCGAGGCCAGGCTAGAAGGATCAGAACCCATAGGGAATGAGTATCAGAATGGAACATCGAGGGTAGCCCTGTATTTAAAAAAACAATCGGCTTACATCTGCAGACGCCAGGCACGGTGTTATACTTGTATCTCCTAAAGAAAATTGCCAATCACAAAATCGATCTTGAAAATATGAATTGAAGAAAAAATGATGAAAATATAAATAGTAATGAATCCCGTATCCCATTCACCGTATAATAAAACCCAATAACAGAAAAAATGGACACTACAGTGAATACCATCCGATGAAACATTGATATTGATGTGAATATCTCTTAATGGAATTGTTACTCCCAATCATGTTCAACCATCCAAGCATCCTCTAATTGCAATCCAGATTCTTTAAGATCGCAACCCATGTGCCCCCATTTTTCTGAATATATCTCATCACCACTTCGTATCAATATCTCAAGTGCTTGTTCGAAACCTCGCGGATCGCGATGAAATGGCTCTCCTTGACCTCCTAACTGCCTTCGTTGCCAATGATTTCTGGCACTTGGATCATTGTTCTTCCATTCTGCTTCGGCTTGAATCAACTTAATCAGATGTTGGAAGCCTTCTCCTCCCATCTTGTCTTCCGCCAATTTATTCATATCAGCTGCTGTTTTAGGGGGCATATCTGGATTGTATTTTCGACGAAAGAGCAAGTTTAGATCAATCGTTCTTCCCACATCCATAATCCAGCCCGCCTCGGCCGTGTCTAGCAAGATGCCAGCCATTTGAAGTCTCTGATACATGTCACAATCAGCAGAGTAATAGCCAATCAATGGATCCCATCCTCCCATTTTCACAAAGCTTTGCACGTTATTTAGCGCAAGCCAATCGTACTCGAAGAAGCGAATTCCCCATCCATCGTGTCCTTCCGCGTAATTAGGATCGGAGGTCCTCCGAAGTTCATCGACAGCTCGCATGTATAAAGACTTGTGAGATATCGCAGGATTTCGTTGTTGATTTAGTGGTGCATGGGTTAAGTCTTCGTCGGGCAATACGATCGCATCCATATGACTCCAGAAATAATTCTCCCATTCATTTTCGAGTGCCGTGTAAATGTAGAAATTCTGAAGTTGGGAAAAAGTGAGAAGGGTTGGCGTTGAAATTACGTTTACCCCAAAGACGTTTCTGAGTCGATCGACATTCAGATACGAAGGGTTCTGAAGTGTGATCTTTGGCTGAGAATCAAAGTTAGATCTCATTGTACCAGTGTTATCCACAACATATATGTCCTCTGCGGGCCACCCCGCAGTAATATATGATAAAACGCATTGCTGTAGTAAAGGCCAGTTGCGAGTGAAACCTATGAAAAGAGGAGTTTTCTCCGGAACATGCTCTTTGGGAGGCCTGTTCCATGATGGTATGTCTGGAAGGGTTTTGTACTGAAAGGTATCGACAACTTGGCGTGAAGCATGCGAGCTCTCGACATTCAAAAGTTGTTTGTGAATCGGTCCTGGTGGTCGAGCTCTCACGGCCGGAGGTGGATTTAATGGTCCTGGTGTCTCGAACTCACCCTCCTGAGCAACTTCAACTCGTTGCGTTGTCAATTCTGGTGTTTTTGTCCATAAATAAAATATCAGCAAGATATACAGCAAGAAGAGGACAGAAGCGCCCTTGTACCTCGCCATTTTCAAGTGTTCTCGAGGAAATTAAAGAACATGATGCTCTGAAAGAGTATGCAGCTTTTGAGATATACCCATCAATTTTGTTTTAAACTGCAAGTCCAGCAGATTCGCATATGCTTACGACGATACTGTGGATAGGTATCAAAATAATTAAGCTTATAATGCGGGTACTGTATCTGAAAGTCTCGCCCCTCATTCTTCCCTTTAATTAAATGTCTCCTGAATACTCAGTTGAGACCCCTATTGTCCCAATCGTCATTGACTGCGAGACCTGCAATGCGGATTGGCGGCAATAGTTCTCTTCAGACTTTAACACACCTCCAATTGTACCCGACGAAGTAAATCAGCGACAGCTGTGGCTATCAGGAAGATCGCTGTCCTGTAATCTATCTGTGGAGACTATGCCAAGTCGGGATCACTACTGTGGGCCGGTCCGAGTTAGCTCTCCACCTGGTGACGAAGGCTTTTTGTTTTTGATCCGAGGAAGTGAGAACGGTTTCATATCTCGCTGATTGAGTCTGTTAAAGCAAACACTTCCGAAACGCGAGAGTTCGTAAAATGGAAGCAATCGATCGCTCTCACGTGACTATTCTCAAAGATCATTTTGAGGTATCACCTGTAGGGCTGAGATTGTAACGGAAACATGGTTCGGATCAAACAGTAGAGCACAAAATATATGATTCCATAATCGCATCCTTTTTGACAGATCAACCCGCGTGTAGATGACTTGGTCACGTGGCGGTATGGGAACGCTCATGGCCAAAATCTCAGCTCCTAGAAACCGGACGTAAAAACGCAGAGGTATGCCAATATTCATGATATGGAATCATTGAGGGTTACGGAAAATTCCCTTAACAAAGTCGGACGCAACCCCTTCATCGAGACGAGCACTTTCATCACAACAGATATTCGGAATAGAATACTACATAGCCTACAGCCATCCCATGCTCCATCAGTTCATACGCACGAGATAAGAAGTAGACTCGGGGCACAAATTGAAGCTCAATGATGTAACCGAAGATTGGAATCTTTTCTGCTCAGCTAATTGTTCAAGATGTTGAGCCTCAAAACGAGGCGTAGCTTTGAGATCACATGATTTTTCTTCCTATCAACCAATCATTTTCGTTCTCCCGAAGGATTGTGGCTCGTCCAATAAATCACAGCCCCGCTGCTTACTTCCGCAACTTCGAAGGCTTGGCCTGCACTTGTGATTTACGGAATCTGCCTTGCGCCGAATTATGGCTCTACGCGACGTGCCGTGCTTGCATTTTTTTGACATCTGCCTCTTCGTTTCGATGAACCAACCAATGTAAGTTTGCGAAAATCTGAGTGTTGAGTAATGCTTGGTTATCGCAATGACTCTACGCCTTCATTTCCCCTCATTTTGTACACATTTCCCCATAGGAAATGAAATCACGTAGACGTACTAGTCACAATGCACACCATAATCTGTCCTCTAGATTCTAGGCAATCATCGCTACTGATTGTTTCCAGCCCTATTGCTTCATTACTATTGGATAGGATCTGAGTCAGTTGAAAGTCATCGGCGAGCCAGTGGTGAATACCCGCAATTGCATCCCCTGATTTATTCACAATGTGGATGTTATCATGTGTGGCTGAGGCTTGGACTCAGATTTCCCTTGATGAGTGATGTGGTGAAAGGCCTCCGAGTTTTAGATTGTGCGATCCAATCCGACTTTAAAACCAAGACGGATTTCATCCATTGATCAATTCCTTTCTTCTTACTTCTCCAAACATTTCAGATCATACAAAGGTTTTTGTTTCATTTGACACAGACCACAGTAGGGCTGCATATTAGTTCGTCTGTCCAGTCACTGAATTAGTCTCATTATTATCTACCACTACTATCACCCATCAACACCTCCAAAACTGCAACTATGTCTCCAACTGGAGTTGCCTTCCAAACACAAGTCGACTCTCTCCTGAATGAGTTGTCAGACTGTATTGGATTTTGCCATCAGATCCGAGAAACTCGACGACTAGGTACTAAGCACGAGAATTTCGACAAGCTTCAAGACACCCTCCTCCACTCACATACCACCCTCTCAGTTCAATATGATACTTTGAATCGATGTTTCGGGCACCGGATGGCTGTTGGCGATGAAGCATCCATCCAACCAATGAACAAATGTCTCCGGGCAGTATCATCTGATATCAAAAAAAAACTATACGAGATCGCCAACAAGACCACACAAACCTCGGGTTCTAGACAACTTCCCGGCTTCGGTACTCTTCTTCAGCACTGGAAACTCATTGAAGCAGATGCTTCCAGCATCATAATCGGACTTTCACAACGTCTAATCATCACGCCACCTGCTTCAACTCATATTCCAGCTCCCACTACATCACCAAAACCAGAACCAAAAGTCAGATCAGATCAACAAATTGTTTCTAAAAGTGATTTCAACTTTCTGGTGGATCATATGCAGAAATCCTGGACGGAGAAATGGAGCAACGAACAATTAATTTATGTCAACTATTATGATCAGAAGAACAAAGTTTACGAAAAGCCCGACGGATTTATCAAAGCAGTACCCACATCATACAGACCTGCGAGGACAGAAACTGTATCTGGCTCAAGAACGAGGAACGAGGACTTAAATGAAAGAGAAAGGAGAGGTTATGCATTCGGGGGTTGAATAAGCCTCAAAGGGAAGAATTTTGGAGACAATGAGACGCGTATTGTACAAGGAAAAGGGTGCGGTTTTCAGGAGTTGATGAGATAAGATTTTTTGACACGAAATGAAGATATGGGTATGGTCACGATCAAGGTGGGATGTTATTTGGGGTTTGGTGCGATATGGGGAAGGAGTTTTGGGATCTCAGGATTATAGGACTAAGTCGCCAACGTGCGCATGGAAGGGAATCTTGGATGATGGATATTCTTGCAGTTCAACGTTTATTACAGTATATGCTTTGCGATTATCCCTATTTTTTTTTCTTTTGAGAACAATGAAAACCAAACCATTATCTTCATCTCATATTTGTCCACATGATTTCTGTACGTGAATATGTTTCAGGTGCCTGAGTCTACTGAGACTTTGAATGCACCTCACGTAATGCACCCTGCCATACCCTAGAAATATTTAGGCACCACTAGGTACTCTCTACATGATTTCTTTTTAGCCCGAGTATCTATTCAATAATGACATTTGTTCGAAGTGCCAATATGTTGCATCACTCAACTTCTTGCGGATAAATATGGATAATATGTACCTTACCATGTCAAACTTTTCGACTTATATCGATGACGAAACCAGGCTTTTGGATCCGCCATGACTTCCTAGACCGACTTGCGGGAATTATGTTCAACTATTTGGTGGGTTGAAAGAGAAATCAATGAATCAAGAGAAGCTCTCAATGTCCTGGTTCGATATAGACAACAAGCTTTCATTTCTTCGATTCCAAGTAGATAATCAAACCTGATTGTTTCAATTCCAAATATACAATCAGTCCTTGTTGCTTAAATTCCAGGTAAACAATCGTCCCTGCTTATTCGGATTGGAAATAGACAATCAGCCCTTATTGTTCCAACTCGACATAGGAAATAAACCATCAACCGCGAGGTTCAAGGAAAGATATTCACTTAAGTAGTTTCGCAACTGGCTTTATCATAAAGCAGGCAGGTACAGTAATCCTAGTCATATGAAATCATTATGGGTGACGCTAGATTCTGAATATTTTGTACGGTGGGCAGAGGGTCTGGTATGAGGTCATCGCCCATCAGCCCGCTCAGAAACGTGATAGTATTATTGACAGGGTCCCGCACAAATTCTGGATACTCACCATGGACTCGATGGCATAGGAGAGGAAATGAAGTGTATCTTCAGATTGTGGTTCGGTGTTCGACTGTACTCGGGTTGGAGTTGTGATTCGGAGGCTAGGATGTGAGTGTGGGCCATGGTGCTGTCCGCGTTCAACATTTCATCGGAGATACTACCTACAACAACCGTGCAGGTCTAGACCACTATCAGGCCTGGTTAGTGAAATCGTATGTGGTGAATGGCGCAGCGGATTGCAACCTGATCTTTCCGCAACTTGTGAGAGAACAGTCTGAGAGCTGATTGCTCAGCTGATATAGTCTCCGCGATATTGCATGCTACTGGATATACTGTTTTTGAATCAACGAAAACGCTTGTTTCTCGTTCCTTTTTGCTACGCATCATACACAGCCTACGGCGATATTTCATCGCGTTTGCGACCTTGAGCGATGGCGAAGAATCCCGAAACCCAATGATGAGCTACCCATGTGAAATCGACATTGTTATGGCCAGCGAACGAATAGTTGGAAGAATTCCTCAAGCTTTGCTTTACTGTCAATTCTTGGTACCCAGAAGTTGTTTTCAGAAGATTCTCTTCTTGAAATTGTTGGGATTGTGTGTTGATAATAGCTCTCGCCATGTAATCTCAGGTCCATGGCAGCGTAGAACGACCATTTCGGCCTGTGCGGATGTTTGAATCAAACCGACTATAGCAATGAATTCGTAAACTGATATTGATAGGCTTTGGGGAAACTAGCAAAAGACTCACAGCTCCTCTATTCTAATTTCAAGCTTCGAAATGCCCAGTCCATGAATACTCTATAGCCACTGTTGTTAGGCTCGGAGCTGGGCGGCTGGCAGGTAAGGTTAATGTGTATTACAGCAAAAGTAAATAGATTTCATGTCGTTCAATCTTTTGTCTTTTTCATTTAGTTATCTTTTTTCAGTTTATATTTGGTGTCTGGTTGAACAATAGGGGTGCATTGTTTTTGAAGTGCTAAGTTTGGGTGTTAGACGCGACGCGTTTGGCAGGCGGTAAGATTAATTTCGGTGTGGAAGGGCACGTTATTTCCCCCATTCACTTTGTTTATACGTTGTTCAAGCTCAAGCGATCCAACTTACAAGTTACAACAATTCAATTGCAGGAATTTCCTTCAATACACTCTGTATTGAAAGACGAAACGGACTCCGTCTGGCTGCCACTTAGTTTATCTGTCTACATACATAACCCCCGTCCGTACCCCCACGTGGAACTGCTCTACAGCCTGTCATTTTCACGGGCCCAGTTACTCCAGCATTATTGGACTTTACAAGATGTTTCTAAGGTAAAGGGCTTAGAAAACAAATGATTGTATGATCTTACCATGGTTTGCACTCAAATATAATCAGACCCCTTCACCATACGACATATTTAAAGGAGTTACTTGGGTAATTCGAGAAATCGACCACAAATCCATCAAGGCCCACATATCAAAGAGGCTGAAAGGCGTAGCACAAAAGTGCATCAGCTTTTAATGTAACCCAAATCAATGTCTTTTTCTCTGGTCCTCTCTTTATACTTCTTCATCATTCATCATGCCGTCTCCTTACGCAGATCTTCCGCTCCTGCACCCTGATAAGCAAATCAGATTGCTTCGGCTGGAGCAATCATCATCTGATGGTGATGACTATTGCTTCAGCTTGACGGTTCACAACTTTTGCGATGATGTGTACCACCCACGATACATTGCCATTTCGTACACTTGGGGAGATTTTGTCCCGCTCATGCCGATAATTGTAAACGGTAAAAGGATGCGAGTGCGATTCAATTGCTGGTATGCTCTGTGGCAGATGAGACACCATGGCGTTACCGATTATTTGTGGATCGATTCATTGTGTATCAATCAAGATAACAATGAAGAGAAGAACTTTCAGGTGGCTATTATGGGTTCGATATACGAATCGGCATTGTGGGTTGCAAGTTGTATTGGTACTGGTGACACAATCGGTGCCATACAGCCCACCTCGGCAAACGATGGCGGCGAAGAGGCTAGGATCGCTAGGGAAAAACTTCGAGGAAGGTTTGATCAAATACCTTATTTTGATAGAGTATGGATTAAACAAGAAATCATTCTTGCGCGCGACATCACGCTTTTCTACGGGTTGAAGAGCGTCTCATGGGAAATTTTTAACACGTTAATGAGCATTGAACAAAGACTGTCGGGGCAAAACTCAGAAGAGAGTGCTGATTGTGGTATGTTCGATGCTCTGGAGAATTCCGAATACGCTTCAAGTAGTTTTTACAGATGGGGTCAGATACGGGAGTATTCCATTCAGGAAGCCGAGATGAATTCTACTACCCTACAACTTTGCAATCATCGCTCAAATACAAAATCTGGTACATTTGTGGATTTGGTTCTCCGGTATAAAACAGCAAAGGCTACCAACCCCAGGGACAAAATATACGCACTTCTCTCTCTGCTTCCAAAGGAGGATTTCATCCGACAAAACATGGTAATTGACTACGAACAACCTACATTCCATCTGTTTCACGCCGTTGCAAGATTAGTGTATAGTACACATGAAGATTTGGAAATTGGACAAAAGCATCAAGTCCTTGAGTTAATCAGGGAATGGCTAGACATCAACGAGCATAATCTGGAAATGGATGAATACCTGAGATCAATTCCACCTTCACCATCAGTCTGGCTACCTTCTTCGACGTCAGATTTGACTAATCCCTGGCTTGAAGCAATTGACCCTCATGTCAGACTTGATATTAAGGAATTGTGCCAGATTCCTCAACAGGATGAACTTCACGCCAATTTAAACATTCAAGCTGAGGAGTACGCGCCTTTAACATTGCTCGAACATATAAATACGTGGCGGCAGAACGATGAGAAATGGTCCAAGGAGCACATCAATGAACTTTTGCCTGCCAATCTTAAAACATCCAGAGTTACCATTATGTGGCCAAATCTACAAACGGATATTTTTCCAGCTATGAAGGAGTTTCTAGTCAATGCAGATGTTCGAGACGGAGATTTCATTGCAAAAATAGTTTGGGGTAAATCCGAAATTATATACAACGCCGCAGATCATTGGACTGCGGCATATGCTGTTTTGCGCAACGTGAAAGTTAAGGAAAACGACAAAGAACTTGACAAAGATGATGACTCTATTATGGATACTTCCGACGACGTTCTTGACGGCTCATCGAATTGCGAGTTAGAACAAGAGCAAGGCACGGATGCTTTTCTCGCACTCCATAGCTGGGCCATTCCGGTGAGCCAAGATCTGAAAATTCTGACAGAAGACGAAAATTCGGATCTTTCTGACATATATCGGAACCAAAACCCGGGCGTGTTAATCCTACATCATCGAGACGCCTTGATACCGCTGATTTTGAACGATAGACCATTACATGCATTGCTGTATCCTGCCCCCGCCGGATCATACTTATCAACAATTCAATTAGACAACAATGTGAAATGCAAATCTGAGCCTCCCTTAAAACAATTGTCCGACTACATCAGCGACGTGTTTGGGTGAAATTCGGAAGAAGTGGAGACTAAAAATGGGTGTTCTGAATCAACAGTAACAAAAGTTGCGTCTGACAGTATTTTAATATCATTGAAAATTTCAATCGAGCAATAAAGCATTGTCAATGTTTAAGAGTCCTGAAACGTGCATCAAATATTAGTCTTCTTACGTATGCCAATTTCAAATTGTGGTGAACAACTTTCGGTCAGTCCACTCTGTTTTTCACCAGCGCAAGAAGTAATCCGCTGAAATGAAATTGCTCTGATTTGGAAGACCAATAAGCCTTTTGAGTATCTGTAAACCCCTCATCTTAGTCACTGAATTATGTTACGGCCACAGTCGGCCAATCAAATTTCACCTGGACATTTTCCACTATTCTTCCCCGCTATTGAGTTAGATACATCCAAATCTCTCACACAAAGATACGCTCTTGTTGTGATGAAGTTTCCGGACATCTATTTCAAGACGGAAAATCGATTTAAAGGTGTATGATACGGATTCAATAGCAAAGCTTGCAGACTTGCTCGTGCATTCGAAACCTCGACACCAGGACATGGTGTTGCTAGGAAATAACCTCCTTTCTACAATTTCTCGTCTGTCTTCCAGGGGTGAAGTCTAGAAGATATATGGGTTGGATTAAATTTTTGACAGTGATTGAAGATTATACGACAATTACGCGAGTTTGAAGACAATGATGTGCAGCAACATAGATTGTGATGTGGCTTCGACACGTGGAAAATGAGCTTGAAGTTTACCAAACAGATGATCTGATCTACTCAAGAAATGTAGCAACCATACCAGGATTCGCGTCCCGCCTTGTATTCTTTGAAGGAACACTATACTACTTACTTCTAAGATAGTTTGTATATGTCATCTCATCCAGAGCAGGCGAGTGGGTCACATTGTAGGGATTCAAAATGGAGTTTGAGAGCCTCATGAGATATTCACCAGAGCAGTTGCGAAGTCTTTGGACTTAGCATTCCTTTTTGAGGCGAGGTTATAAAAGGGATAATCTTGCTGGAAAGTTTTGTCTCGCTAAAATCAGAACCGAGGATTGCTTTGTACCCAAACAATGGTTTCCTCTATATTTCTATCAGATCTTTGGAAGCAAATTGTTTAGGTGGACTTTTCTCAGTAGTGTGTTTCATTAGGGTTGAGATATGGTATAAAAAAAGTATAGCTGGAAAGTGTATGGCAAAAAGCTCACTGACAGCAAGATAAAGAAGGTAATGACGACAAGAGATCTTTTAAAGACAATCTTCATTTTTATTTGTCCCGGGAAGAAATATCCAGCTCAAACGTAAAGAGAGTCCTCGAACTACTCATTCACAGGTCATATTTCTTTGTAAAAACTACACCTTTGTGCCGGCCATGCTCCTTCGCAGTTGCAACGCACCTTCTATGAAGAAGGCTTTGAGAAGAGATACAGTGGTACTTTATGTACCCATGAAGCATTCATCTCCCTATCTGATTGTACCACAAAAATCTTTCAAGGTGAATCATCAACAGAGTTATCAACTCATTCAATCCAATTCACCATCCTCATATATGACGATAGCATTGCTCCACTTATTCATCACCATCTCATTCATATCACAAACCCCCCTCCGTGAAATAAATTTACAAGATACCTATTAAAGTCCCAGCCCGAGTTAAGATTTCAGCTCTCCAATATTGGATCGGGAGCAAAACATTGCGGAGTTATCCGACCGCCAACTCGGATGTGTGAGACATTTAACCGTGTTTATTACCTCAAAACTCCAGCATTCATTTGTAGAAGTCTTGATTAGATGGGATTCTCCGCGATTGATGGTCTTCAAAACAGTGAGAGTGATGTTCCTGACAACAAGAAGCCACCGGTAATTAATCATTCTAGTAGCAACAGGCACTCAACAACAAGCAAAAATCAAGGATAGCACCTACTGTAACAACGATTCTCCCTCACTGAAGGAATCAACTAATCATCTACCATTCCATTCATCAACTTATTACATGCAACCAGAACTACCCTAATCGCAATGCGCTGCCTACCAATACCGAAACCACATTCTGTGGCCACAAACTGTCCATTAACGCTTGAATACCCTATTTTAGAGACTTGGTATAAAGAACGAAGAT